GGAGTAGTTTTCAGAGGAAGCACATTACCTTGAGTTATTTGTAACGAGGGGTAGTTTTCAGAGGAAGCACATTATCTTGAGTTATTTATAACGAGGGGTAGTTTTCAGAGGGTCCAAGTTATCTTGGACAGTAAGAGCTCAGTAATAATAGTAAGCCACACTTCAATTAATCTTGTAATCATTACTACACTATCACCTTTCAAACGTTTCGACGGTGGTTAAGCTAGCGACAGATCATAGTTTTTCTCTTTCTGTCGCTTTCTCAACTCATTTAGAACACAGCTAAGAAAGAGTCCTTAGAAGGGCAAGGAATTTTTATCTGCTCTGTTTTGGACTCTCTCTCTCTCTCCCGGACCTTCTTTAAATTTATTGAGATATCCTTGTAACGATCTTGGAAATTTTAAATTCTACATCATTCTTACGCTAAACTAAAATATTGTAAAATAAATATAATTTTAGTAAGTAAATTTTATTTACAAATATCTCTCGATAGTTTTAACCATATACAAGCTAAAACCAGTAGTTAAATACATTACAAGCTATAGCCTGTCTGTTTCTAACGTTACTTGTGTTGTGTAACCTAAAACCTTGTCATGTAATGAGGTCAGTTAGGATATGTTTTTATAATACAACTCACAGTCTGGGCTAACTTCACCTTCATGAGAAACTAAACGAAATTTATAAATTTGCTGAACGACAAGAAACATGAAGATATTTAAAACTTTCGCCTATAAGATTTCCAAGAAAAAGCCACCCCCCAGTGAGCCAGCAGTAAGTTCACAACGCTAAAGTCCGGGGTTCGATACCCATGGTGGACAGAGCACAGATAGTTCATTGTGGAACTTTGTGCTAAAACAGAACACATCAAATCCAGACTAAAGAAAATACGAAGCAGTAAACGATCGTTTCTAGAAACCATTGCACGTGGTTACAAGTATGTTACTTTTTAATGATAAAACCCGACGTTCTTACCCAGCGATTCATGTCAATAATGCTCAGTAATAATGAAATGTCTGGGACGCTTCGAGATTGGACTTTACTGCCGTTGTTGTAAAAATATTTCACTGTGCAGTTAAACTCAGTAAACAGTATTGTCTTCTGAAGTAAAATAAATGCCCATAAACTTCACAAGGTAGCGCACTCATAAGAAAAAGCATGAAGTGGAAATATCACTTCACATAATTTATTTTCCTCCCTTGGCGGTGAATATAATTCATTCAAGTTATATGTATGTATAAAAAGGTCAGAGAAGTATCAGTCCAGAAACACCTGCTCCGCTTCTCTCCCCTAGCAATGAAAGTTCATCCAAGTTATACCAGTCCAGAATCACATACTCGACTACAGGTCCACAAGTTACACTGTGGCGAACCCTGGTGGAAGATATTTATCAATTTGGAATATCCCATTCACAAGTATCGTCTGTAAATATATTTGTAAAACACTCTAAAGAACCAGTGATGGGGAACAACGGGTTAGGGCTAAGTTCTATAATATTTTGTTAGCAAATCATAGCAAGTTTTGTTTTAAACCTGACAAATTTTATTTCAGCGTAACGATCGTGACATTCTATATCTTCGTTGTTCTCCCCTAATCTTTCTATAGCTATAATATTTTAGTTGCAAGTCAGTCACGAGATATAAAGTCTTCCTTATTTAGAAATAACCTGTTGGTTTTGTTCTTTGCAACCAACCAAAGTTTAATTACTTTTGTTTTAAAATACGATGTCTTAAAAAAAAATAATAATAAAGAGATACAATAAACTATCTCTAGAGTACAGTGTTTATTTGTTAGTTTCTAGTCCCCCTGGTGTCATGACGAGGAAATGTATTGTAGTTAATATTTTTTTTGTATTAGAGAAATACAGCTACGTACCAGGTTTCAACTACACAATGATTAATAAAATACACACAGATTCCTTTTAGATGCCTCCTGGTGCCAGAAAGATGATTTTATGAATATACATATACAGCGTTAAAACTACTAACATTACAATATAATCATATTAAAATGGTCCTGAAAATAGGGCTGTAACACGTCCATCATCAAACACATTAATGTCATTTTTATAATTCTAATCTTCCGAATATGAAAGTGATTTTTTAAGCTGACCGTGAGAGGGCGCTGACATAATTTTCTCCAGAGATGCCTCTGGTACACACCCTGTAGGCGAATTAGCCGATTATTAATGGTTCTCGAGTTTTCAAAGTTGCAACAAAAAAAGGGGGGGGGCTTATGTGGTAAAACAAATACGTATATAATGCTATACTTCAATATATGTTTCTCGCATTTTTGTCAGTAATGAGACATCGCATCCCACTTAACAACAAACAGCTTAATAAGTCTGACATCGCATGTTATATAATCAGGAAATGATTACGCTTAACGCTAAGACACTCGGCAATTCAAGGCGGTTTTTGAATCAGTTCTGTAATTAGGATATCCTGTAAGAAGAACGTTCGGTTTAGAGTGTGGTGTAAAAACAGTCCACTTCTATAAAAGGGGCATGAATATTAAAAGGAATCGCGGTGAACTCCTTTTTCCAACCCAGCAACAACCACTCGAGCGCTACAGGTTTGTTACGTAGTCAATTTTTACCCTTCAACAATTCAGACTGGTTTTATTTCGTTATCGGGGTTGGTTGGTGCCTGTGTTGAAGACAAGTCAACAAGTAATACGTCAACAATGTCTAACTGGTATTAAATATTGGTTTTAAGCAACACAGCTAGATAATAATATTCGTTGTTTGATGACTTTATTGTCATTGATTTAACAAGTGTTAAACAATTATAACTGTCATATTATATCTTTAACACTAAATTCTTCATCCAGTCCTCCCTGCTTCGCCAACATGGAAAAGACATTGTCACACGATAAAAAACTGTTGTTGTAACAAACTGTTTATACAAATAGTGTTCCAACCACAACTGTGCCGGCCTGATGAGCTCTAGATTTAGCGAAATGCGTCGTCAACAATAGATATGACAAACATAGTGAGGTTGAAATATTATTATCATAAAGAATGCAGTGTTAAAAAATATAATAGGCCTAACTGATGTCTTATTACAAATACAATTAATTATAATCATGCTTCGCTATCTCCCACACCATAAAAATGTTAAACAATATAATTAACCAGATCTCGGGTCAGTGATAGTTTGAGTTTTTAACAAAAATACATATATTTTATTACAAGTTATAGCTTTTACAGTAAGGAAGGTTTTAGTATTTAAATCCACATTCAACAACGTATTAAATATTAAAACATTCTTTACTGTTAAAAACTTGTATACTTGAGAATGATCGCACCAGTGATCGAAACCTCGTACCTGTTTTTATATATTCTTCTTTATTGTAAAAGCTGTAACTTTTAATAAAATAATACTTATAACCTGAAACTAAACTCAAAACGAAATTTGAAAAGATACTATGAATTGCTACTGGTTTAATTCAATTGATAGAGTAAAAGATCTCAGGTTCGATACTGGGCCGAGGAAAATAAAGGGTTGCAACAAAAGCATTATGAGACTAAATACAACATCGGAATACATAAATAGTCTCTTCTTAAGGTGTCCATCAATCTAATGTTCAGCACGTGTCAGCTGTGTTTGATTATACAGCTGAAGTTCACACCTATACATCAGTATTGAAATATTTCTAAAACATCTGTGTGTGATTACACAGCTGAAGTTCACACCTATACATCAGTATTGAAATATTTCTAAAACATCTGTGTGTGATTATACAGCTGAAGTTCACACCTATACATCAGTATTGAAATATTTCTAAAACATCTGTGTGTGATCATACAGCTGAAGTTCACACCTATACATCAGTATTGAAATATTTCTAAAACATCTGTGTGTGATTATACAGCTGAAGTTCACACCTATACATCAGTATTGAAATATTTCTAAAACATCTCTGTGTGTGATTATACAGCTGAAGTTCACACCTATACATCAGTATTGAAATATTTCTAAAACATCTCTGTGTGTGATTATACAGCTGAAGTTCACACCTATACATCAGGATTGAAATATTTCTAAAACATCTTTCTCTGTGTGATGAAAAAATATTAAGTGGCTCAAGAACTTTAAAAACAATACTTTCAACACCACCGAGGCCCAGAAATCACAGAGAGCCCGAAAAAAAGTTTTCAGCACATTATCATATTCCTCGGGTATATAATAACTATGTACCTTAAAACAAAACAAGAAACGTCCTCGAAAGTTGTAACGAAGATATAATTAACTTGTTAGTGTTATAATGTTTTAATAAAGGTATAATTAACTTGTTAGTGTTATAATGTTTCAATAAAGGTATAATTAACTTGTTAGTGTGTTATAAAGTTGTAACGAAGATATAATTAACTTGTTAGTGTTATAATGTTGTAACGAAGATATAATTAACTTGTTAGGGTTATAATGTTTTAATAAAGGTATAATTAACTTGTTAGTGTTATAAAGTTGTAACGAGGATATAATTAACTTGTTAGTGTTATAAAGTTGTAATAAAGATATAATTAACTTGTTAGTGTTATAAAGTTGTAACGAAGATATAATTAACTTGTTAATGTTATAAAGTTGTAACGAAGATATAATTAACTTGTTAGTGTTATAATGTTTTAATAATTAATTTGTAATGTGTTATAATATTGCAACGAAGA